TGAATACTTATTAAAAATAAATACCCATGGAAGAAATGGCTACATAGAAGTATAATATGCATTTCCTTGAGACTTCCTGAAATGGAGAAACTATAGCACTTCAAGAATATTAATAACAAATAAGGTTCATACAACGCTAATTAATTTTATTGTAAGAACAAACGCCTTACACAATAAACAAAATAATTATAAAAATTTCTTGAAGTAAAATAGAAAAGCTCCTTAAAACTAATCCTAAAAAGTTATAAATCTTATATAGAAAATAAATTAATAGAAAAAATTGTTTAAAAACCTGTTCGGTGTCCATTTTCCGGGAAACGCAAAAGACGCTTATATATTTTTCAAGGCCACGAAAGTTATCAGATTTTTGTTCACTTAAATTAAAAACAAAAAAAGAACAATTTTGTATTGTACAAGTAAATATACTTATTAATATTATCACGAGGTATATATTAATATTTCAAGCACTAAATTTCGAAGGTATGATACTATGAAGCGAAGTATACAACGCAAAAGATGTCTAAAAACAACCGGCCCTTGGCGTGCCCTAGTAACTGATGATACGCGAGTCGCTTTGTAATTTGAACTTTAAGTTTCTTTGTGACCTTTTTCACTATCAAATATTTTACTAGGAAATTATAGTGATACTTACATGTTGTTGCGACGTTTTGGCGAAATGAAATTAAAGTAAAAAGAGAAGAAACTTTCGTGACGCTAACAGCGAAACGAGGTACGAAATGGCGTCAACGACTTCCACCTTGAACACTTTTGACGGAAAACGATAAGGTTCGTGTTCCGTGTTACCACTTTTAACGGAATAATGAAAAAGTCACTAGAGAACTTGTATAACAAGGCATGTTTTCATAGTGTTTATACACATATTCTCTATTTAAATATGTAATTATTATATAAACTAGTCTATTATTTTAATTAATAAAATTATTTGAAAATTAATAAAAATTATTAACAATTGTTATTTATTCATTTCTTTTATCAGAAAGACTACTTATCCCTAACCCAGAGATGACTAACTGCTTCTCCTTATGCTAGTGATTTTCGATCATCATTCCCCCACTACCTTTATTCTAGGAGCTGCCTGAGATTGGTTGCGAGCAGTTGTATGAATTGTTAATCAAACAGGTAAAAGTAGGTATGGAGAGGGCAACTCTTCGTGAGGGGAAAATCACTATGGAACTCTTGAACTTTCAGTTCCACACATCTGATTTCAAATTTACATTGTAAATAAATGTTTACTCCTATGTGCTTATTAACTAATTAAAATACAACAATAGTCTACATATGAAAGTTTATGTAAAATTTTATGAGAATTTATATTTACTATTAGATATTTTAATAAAAATTCGATTTACTTAAGATTTAACCGGTTAGAGGTTAAAAATGAAATACAAACATTTCAACTGAAATTATGTTACATCTAATATTATTATAAGTACATATATATAACAATAAATATTTTAAAATTTCTTTTATAATCGTGAAATTTTTTAATAAATATTAAAACGGTGTTATGAAGAGAAAAATGAATTTTGTATTATCGACACGATTGTTTAGTTCCAATACTTCCAGTTCTATTAAAAAGAGTTCAAAGTTAATCAGAAATGAATTTTTGGATTATTTTCAAGAAAGTTTGGGACATACTTTTATCCGATCAAGTCCTGTTACACCACTCAATGATGATTCAATTGCATTTGTTAATGCCGGCATGAATCAAGTATTTTTGAGTTTTATAAAAACTTATAAATTGATTAATTTATGTCAATAATAATTTGTTTACATATATTTTTTTTAGTTTAAGGGAATTTTTTTGAACCATTATGATCCACCTATGATGAAAGTTACAAATTCTCAGAAATGTATTAGAATTAGTGGAAAGCACAATGATCTAAATATTGTTGGAAATGATACGTATCATCATACATTTTTTGAAATGTTAGGGAATTGGTCTTTTGGAGATTATTTTAAGGTATTTATTCCTCTTTGAGATGTTAAAACAAGAAATGTAAATAAAAATTTTAATTTATAGAAAGAAGCATGCATTTATGCTTGGGATCTATTGACAAAGCATTATGGAATTAAGAAAAACTCTTTATACGTAACATATTTTGGTGGAAGTGAACAGCTAGGATTAGAACCAGATTTAGAGTGTAAAGACATTTGGTTAAATATTGGTGTTGCCAAAGATAGAATTTTGCCATTTGGTATACAAGATAATTTTTGGGAAATGGGTATTTGTGGGCCTTGTGGACCTTGTACAGAAATACATATAGACCATAAAAAACAAGAATTAAATCAATCCATGCGAGTCAATAAAGGCTATTCAGATCTCACAGAATTATGGAACATAGTTTTTATACAATATGAACGGTATGCAGAAAGTAATTAAGATATAGATAATTATTATTATGATAAATTACTAAAAGTTAATTATTAATTTTACACTAATTTATATTAGATTAACAGATGGTACAATAATACCTCTACAAAAGCATCATGTGGATACTGGTATGGGATTTGAAAGATTAGTTGCATTATTACAGGAAAAAAATTCAAATTATGACACAGATCTTTTCCAACCACTTTTCAAAAGTATTGAGATATACACAAAAGCGCCAGCTTATACAGGACAATTTTCTAATGATCACAATAGTATTGATAGTGGATATAGGATATTAGCAGATCATAGTAGAATGATTACTGTTGCTTTAGCAGATGGAACAATACCAGAGGAAAAGTAAATAGCTTTAATCATTAAATATAATTATTATTATAGAGTATTATACAAAATAACATTTTCAGTAAGAAACTTAGAAAAATAATAAGAAAAGCTATTGATATAGGTGAGAAGGTATTTAAGAAAGAAAAGATACTTTCAGAACTTTCATATACTGTAGCAGAGAATTTGGGCGATGTTTATCCAGAATTACAGACGAATCTTAAAAAGGTAATATGATTATACTACTATATATAATTTATTATGTTTAGGAATAAAGGAACATAATTAATTTAGGTACAAAAAATAATAGAATTTGAAGAAGAGTTATTTGAAAAATTAAGGAAAACGTCTGGAAAAGAATGGAAGAAAATCACTGAAATGAGACCTGAATTATCATTAGTTACTGATTGGACAGCTCCTGGTTTACTACATGGATATAAATATCTGCAAAGTATAGTTCAAGATTTGTAGGTATTAAATAATAATTATTTTTAAAAGCATTTTGTTTAAATGTTTTGTTAACTTCATAGGAAAGCAACTAGAACATTACCAGGGCATGTGGCTTTTAAGTTGTATGACACATATGGTTTAAGCAATGAAACAGTAGCTGAACTTGCAGACATTGAATCTTTACATTTTGACAAAAAAGATTTCCAAAATCACTTACAAAATGTTAAATATCAATCAAAATATGGACTACATAAAAGTAATAACATAATTATACAGAAATTCGTAAAATTATTGCAACAAAATTGTGTACCTAAAACTGATGACACATTTAAATATGAATATGTTTGGGTTGGAAATAATTACCAGTTTCCTACAATTAAAAGTAAAATTATAGGAATGATCGTAAATGGTAAAAATTATTCATTAAAATTCATTAATTACTAAACATGAAAATACATACATTTCATTTATTTTAGATAATTTAATATTGGACAATAAGAATAATATTACAAGTGAAGACATTAAGTTGAATGAAGAAGATGAAATTGGAATTCTATTGGATAAAACATTGTGTTATTCAGTTGAAGGTGGACAAGGATCAGATTATGGGACTATTTGTATAAATGGTTTAATTTTCCATACAAATAATGTGCAAAAATTTGCAAATTATGTTATACATTTTGGCAAATTTGCATGCAGCAATTTAAAGTAAGTTTTCAGTTCGATTTTCTAGTGATTATGGCAAATTTTTTTCATAAAAAAACATATAGCACATAAATAAAGTACTCTTCCATTTAGAAACTTAAATGAAAAGATAAAAATTGGAGACAATTGTACAGTATCCATCAATTCTAATCATAGAAAAGGATTAATGCAACATCATACCGCTGCACATTTGTTGAATGTAATTATGAAGCAAATTTTACCTGTTGCTTACCCACGCAGTTCTTCAGTTCTTTCACATTTTTTAAGATTTCAATTTAATTCTTTTGGAGAAAAACTCTCCGTTGAGCAATTAAAAATAATTGAAATATTTATAAATAATGTTATAGAGGCTAATGTTTTTGTTAAAACAAAAATATTAAATTTTTCTGAGTTATTGGCAGAGAACTTCGTAACACTAACGCCAGGAACCATTTATCCTTACACAAATATTCGACTTGTGGAAATCGATACTTCTAACTTAAGATCAAAGTAAGTATTTCCAAATATATAAATATTTAATTCATTATTTTGTATACATTTATATACATACCTTCTTAAAATAAGTGATATTAAAAACTTCATTTAGGGAAGCATGTTGTGGCACACATGTACATAAAACTGGAATATTGGAACACTTTTGTTTGCTAGATTACGATCAAAAAGCAACGACAAACTTTACTGTTAAGGGAGTTGTAGGATCATTTGCTAGATCTGCTAGAATGGCAGGTGAGAATGTACAAAGGAAAATTTTGAAGTTAAAACATAAATTGAAAAATGAGAAGATTGAATATGACACATTTAAATCAATTAGTGAGGAAATAAAAAATGAAATAAATAATGTTAGTAAAAAAAGGCCAATACCATATCTTGTTAAAATTGAATGTTTGAAGCAAATAAAAGATTTAGATAAGGATGCTTTGATACAAGCAAAAGAAGCAGAAATGTAAGTATTACAATCTATAACTATGTACAAAATGTAATTAAAAAACTAATTAAAATTTTTTTATAATTTATCATATTTGTAATTTTTAAAGGTCTGCTTTAACTTTGAATATCAAAGGTACAAATTCAGATTCCTATATCGTTCACTGCTTGCAACAAAATCCTATGTATTTATCACTTCATGAAATTATATCTTTCTATTCAAATATTCCCATAATGATTATTTTATATCACAATGACACAATAAAAGCACGCTGTTCTGTGCCCCAGGTATTCAATATAATACTGAATTTTAACTTGAGGTTTAAATATTTACATATGTTAATAACAACTATTCATTATAGGAAATTATATGTGACACTTTTAATGCACGAGCATGGATAAAAGTAGTTATTGAAATTTTCAATGCAGAATATGGTTCAATCAGAGGCTCTAATCCATTATTGGTTGCTAGTATGAAATCAACAAATGTGCCAAAACTCTCTTCAGAATCTTTAGTGCTTAATGCAGTTAGTGCAGCTAAAAATTTTGCATTTACAAATATAAAAAACATATAAATATATTTATTATAAAATTGTAAAAATAAATTAATAAAATGCAATATATTATTTTCTTATTAATTTTTTTTAAAATACATAATTATACCCATTTAACAATTCTATTATTTTGTATTTTCTATATTATTTTTATGGAATAGTCTAAGGGCATTCCATTGTGCTGAATGAAGTAGTATATGTGGTCTTTTCGTCTTCATATAATTTACTGCTTCTTCAGGAGACCACTGATTTTTCTATAAAAGATTAATCGTTAATTTTTTTCTCATACATAGTACTTAAAATTATTCGTTGAACTAACCATCATTAAATAACAGCCTACTAATGTTGCGCTACGCGTTCTTCCGGCTTTACAATGAACATAAACACTTCCAGTATAAAGGTCATTTGTATTAGCAGAATCAGATTGATCTAATTCACTTGACATACTACAAAATTTATTAATGAAATTAACGCCACATATTAATTTCTCTTGAGAAGGTGATTGAAAAATATCTGTTGTTGATAATTGCAAAAATTTTACATTATGTTCCTGCCACTCCTAAAAAGTTTTATATTATTATTTTATGCATACATATTATTTTTGAGAAGTAAAAAAATACTCTACTTAATATTTCATATTAAATGTTACTTTTAATAAATTACATATACCTTTTCAGTATTTGAAAATAATTTTAATTCGTAGTCTTCGTTCATCGAAATAACTCCCGCAATATTTTCTTCGGTTATTAACTGAAATTTTTAATAACGTATTTGTTTGATAGTTTTAATTTGTATGCAGAAATATATTTTCGCTAATAACGTTTTTCAAATCATTATTGTTAATTTAAAAATATTTTCTAACTAATTCGCGACATAAATATACGTACCTGTTTAGTCATTCCACGAAATGGTAAAGCGCCTAATATAACGGTTTCATCAATTCTGTCGTACCATTTTCTCGACGAAACTTTTTCCATCAGTACATTATAAAATAATGTTGGATAAAATGTTAATCTTGCGAACATTTCTTCTAAATTTGTAATATATTAATAAGTATTATTAATTTGTTTAGGTTCCGAAGAATTCGCGCATATAGTTATTTAAACAATTCAATTTAGCGATATCTCAAACATTCGCGTTATTAAATCACTATTAAGTGCAAAATAAAATAAAATTTTTTAAGTTTTACTTCTCGATATATACGAAGGATGATACTGACCCACTATTGGAGAAAGTAATGATGCTAAGTAAAAGTAACAGTACTTCTGTTACATGTATATTGGAGGGACCATTTATATATCAACAGGAACTTACAACGCTCGGTTTTAATGAAGGAAAATAATTTTAATGTTGTATGTATCAGTTTATACTTTCGTATTTAATTAATAATTGATTAAATGATTACATGTTAATTATAAATATGCTGTAATATATTTTATACTGTAATAATAAGTTAATTTTTGTGTAATTAATTTTATACAGATACATTAAATATATTGTAGGTTTATATTCATGTATATTACATCAGTATAGTTATACAATATCAAATTATTTTCCTGACTTATTACAGAATATGTTTACATTTCTACAAGATTTCTTGATTCATGTAATAAATCTTCATCTAAACAATAACTTCCTAACTCGCCTTTTCTAAATAAATGAATAAAATACTCTGCTGCAAATTTGAGATCTGGTTTAACTATATAATTTCCATCATAATTCTTAATCTTTAAAGTTTTTTTCAGTTTTGCTGCTATAAAAGTAAGAACATATAATATATCATCACTAGGAGTTGGTAGATCTAATTTAGTTACATATTCATAATACTTTTGTTGATTGAACCAAAATAATAAGTAATCTGCAAGTACTTCATGTCCTACTAAATGATCTTGCATACAACCAACTAATGCTAACTTTAGACCAGAATAAAGATCCTTCACTGTAGGAGTTAAAATTCCAGGAGTATCTAAGACATAGATATCTGGATTTTCTGATACTTTTACACGTGTTGATACGGATTTTGTAATACCAGCTACATCGCCTATTTGTAATGCTTTCTTTTTATGAAGGTTATTATTTCTTAGACGATTGATAAGTGAAGATTTTCCTACATTTGGAACTCCAATAATCATTATTGCAAAAGACTTTTCTTCTGCTCTATTATAACGATTTGACTCTTTAATTAATGTTTGTGCCAATGGTAACAATTGTTTAACTCCTTCGCAACGTTCATCTTTAAAATTAGTAAATAGTACATTTGATAATCCTTGATCTCTTAATTCAGCTATTATAGGATTTCTAAACTTCACGTTTGTTAGATCAACTTTGTTTAACACAAAAATATGGGGTTTTATCCCAGTCAAAGTTTTACTATAGTCTGCATAATGCCCAGAAATTGGCACCCTAGCATCATGAACTTCAATTATACAATCTACATTCTTTAATTGTTGTTGCATTTTTTTTAATCCCTTGTTCATATGTCCAGGATACCACGTTAAATGTTTTTTATTAGCTATTTGAAATGTATCACGAAATTCTGGAATAACATTACCTCCTGCGGCCATCATTTTGAAACGTTTTATAACCTTCATTGACGTCATTTTCTTGATATATTTCTGCAATAATATTTCTGACATAAATTAGTCTAAATTAGTCACTAATTACATATTACAATTAATTTCTACTAGTTTCACCTGTTTAAATGAAGTATTTTGAAGATTATTTTTTAATTAACCTTAGATCTTTTATGCTATTAATGTCATCTTTTATAGGTAAAGGAAATATATAATGATTACAAAAAGTATGAATACGTTTGGATATTAGGCATACTGAACTATAATTATTGTTCAAATAGTATTTATGCGATAGCATTCATTGAATAGTGCTATGAACTGCTACTAATGATAGTAACTAGACGTGCTACATTTTTTAAACCAGCTGTGAAGTTTGTAATCTGCAAAACAAAATCGAAAAATATAAACAGTAGACATTTTCATGCATCAATTACATGAATATAAAATCTTTACTTTTTTATTTTAATATTACAAGATTTATAGTGAATTTGTTTTTGTAATATAAATGACATGAAATTTTGCGAATTTTCAAATATGCATAGTAAACAAAGTAGGTAATACAATAAATTATTTTATTAAACAAGCATTAATTAGGTAAGTCGACAAAAAAGAACTAAAATTGATGATTAAATAGAAAAAAATTGAACAAAAAAAGAGAAACTAGTATCTCTGTTATTACCTTTTTAGTTAAGGAGAGGGTTGAAATGTGTTAAGTAATTTATTGAATAATTTATCGGAAGTACAATTTATTTTAAAAGTACTTTTGACTTCTTTATACAGTTGTATCCTCTCGTTATTTCACACTATCTTTTCAGGAAATTTCTATTACAATTATTTCATACCATTCAGATGTTCGAAATAAAGTAGAAATATTTTGATTATCAATATATAACAGATTTTCTCGTAAGTTGATATATACTTTTCAAATCAAATTTTAGCTAATTTTAAATTATTTTCTCTACTTAATTTGCAATACACTAATGGTAAGAACTTTTATTTAAGATAGAAATACACTTACGTAATATTATTTCATTAAGGAGCATAACTTGTTACATTTAATTTAAAACTTCATAAAATCATTTTTCATTTAAAAGTCTAAATATTGAAACATAAAAAAATTATGGATGAAAAGACTTATAAAGAATATAAACGAAGAATTCGTGAAGCTGTAGCTACAATCGATAATAAGCCTCCAAAGTTCGAAATATCCTATTACTATAAAAAACATCATTTAATTCTTGATGCAAATCGAATAAAAGAATTAGATAGAGAAAATATGGAATTGTTGAAAAGGATGAGCATAATTAGTCGTAGTGGAGTAAGTACCTATAAAATATTTGTTTCATTAATAAAAAAAATATAAAAATTTAGAATTAAACTCTATTTCATATTAATTTTACATACTTCCGGTGATTTAAAATTTTATTTATTTATATTCGATTTTTTTGTTTAACGATAACTGATATGAAAATAAAATAAGATAATCTCTTAAAACCGAATTATTACAATAAAGTTAACAATATCTCTTTATATACGAATTATAGTACTAATAACTATTTGTAATATTATTTATCAAAGGGAAAGGTTGACTGTTGGATGACATGTACTAAATATACATCTAGATTAGAAAATCAAGAAGCTAAAAACAAAATGATTATGAAATTAAATAAATCTTTATTAAAAAATATTTACAATGTTAGGAGTAACTATCCTACAGGAGAATTTATAAAAAATTGGAAAGCAACGAAAAAGAAAGTAGCTCGGGATAAAAGGTAAATTATCCATTTTTAATATAAAAATTAAAAAAATGTTTATATGTATATAGGAATATCCTTCATTCAGATTTGCTCAAGAATTTCAAGCTCAAATTGCAGTGCCTCATGTAAATAAAGATCATTGCATGGTCAAAGATTTATCATTAATGAAAGAACTAAATGCTTCTATTCGAACTAGATGCTTTTTCGAAATAGAAATTCAGAATAACAAGCAAAAGTTAGGAACCATACAATTAGAGCTCTATGACGATGTTGTTCCACAAACATGTGCAAACTTCATTGAACTATGTCGTGGGACAAAACATGGATTTTCATATAAGTAAACACATTTGTAATAATAAATTTTGTAAACTTCATAAAAGATACTAATAATATTTTAAAATTGATAGTTTATAAAAAAGTAAAGTATTTCTTGCTTAACACACAGGAGCACACCATTTCACCGTATAGTTTCGGGTTATTGGTGTCAAGGTGGTGATGTGACAAAGTTCAATGGAAGTGGCGGAATTTCCGTTTTTGATAATACATTTGAAAATGAAAATTTTAATTTATGTCATGCAGGTCCAGGAATATTGTCCATGTGTAATGATGGGAATAAAAGTGATTCTAAATTCAATCTTACTTTTAGACGTTTAGAAACAATGGATGGAAAACATGTAGTCTTTGGAAAAGTTATTTCTGGATTTTCAAATATTTATAAAGTAATTATTTCTTAGTATTTTGTAAATTCATTAACGCGACATTTCGTTAGCCTTGATAGTTACATAATCTTTCCTATTATTCAGATCGAAGAGTTTGGTACAAAGACAGGAAAACCTATTAAAACAATAATTATTTCTAACTGTGGTATAGTATCAAGAAAACACAACTGGTATCCTGTAGAAGAAAAGTATATGTATAAATAAAATTTCTAGAAAATTTTAATAACGTAAATTGTGGTATCCCTCTTTGAACATAAAGTGTCTGATACTTTTCTTCCATTAAATAATATTTTAACTACATATTTTCATAACAGAACATTGTTCATAACATTGCAATTTACATAATATATGAAAATACAATCTATTAATTATACATATATATTATTATTACGATACAGTTTATATAACAAATATAGCATTGAATTTATAAAATTGTGTACAAAATGCAACCATGCAATTTCTATCATAAAAATATATTAATATTACAATTAACCTAGATTTTTCTTAAAAATGTAAACATTTCACTGGGGTGTAGCTTTTTATACATAAAGACATTATATAACAAATATATTTTTACACATGTAGTCTAAGTCAAGAATTAAGTTTAGCAATTGAAGATGTGTAGAATAAGGCACTTTGACTTTTAAATAATTTTGCAGTTATATAAAGAAAGATGACTATTAGTTCAAACAAGCTAACTCCCACAATATGTGTACCAACATTTCCTCTGTAACAATTACTTAACAGATTAAAGTATAAAATACAAATACATGAAATAATATAAAAAAATATTAGCAATTAACATTGGTGTGTTGAATGTTACTTTTCTCTGCATTAAATAGCTTAGATAAGTATTCTGATATCTTTTTCTTTAAGCTGGTATTCTTTTCGGATTTAAATCGTACATACGGCGCATACGCTTTTTCAATTCCTGTGGAAATTTGTCATAACATTTTTTACATGCTGGTTTTAAATCAAATTCAAAGAATTTGGTTTTTTGATTCATTTTCTGATCGCAAAATGCACACGCAAAATGATGAACACACCATGCTTTATTTAAAGCTGTAAAAACTGAAACATAAAATTAAAACAGAAAAAGATTATTTTAATCAAGGTTTTCAATTAGAAGAATTTATAATTATTATTAAAAATATTACGACACAAAAAGTTTTATTGTATATTCAGATAATATACATACCATCGCCTGCTATTACTTGATTGCAGACAAAACACAAATTCCCAAACAGTTGATGATAATGAGTTTCACAGTAAGCGAGACCTTTTTTTTCATAATGTCTGTGACCTAAAAATGGTTTTTCACACTTTGCACAGACAAAGTGCTCAACATGCCAGTGTTTACCTAAAGCAGTGACTACACGTTCTTCAATTGGACGTCTACATGCTCCACAAATTGGAATTCCCATTTTATCATGACATCTCAAACAATATAGTTCATTCTAAATAATATAATTTCCATTATATATTAAAAGAATTAGTATTTAAAAATTATATAATGTAATAAATACATACCATTTCATTGGCTGCATAACCTGGTCTAGAATTTACTTCTCTAGCATCAGAATTCAGCTCTATACCACAAGCTGTACAATTAAAATGATAAGGATGATATAATTCTCCACGGAAACGTAAAGGTTTATCATCAATTACGCCACTAAAAATTCATTATTAAATATTGGTTATGCAAATAAAATAAAAATATATTGCATGAAAAATATACAAACACATACTGGCACTGATGGCAAATATATTTTCCAAATGCCCCTGCTTTGACACGGGCATTACAAGCATGACACAAAGCTCTACCTTGACACTTAATAAATCCTGCATCCGCTAATTCACCATTACATTGTTCACAACGAAAACATCCTGGATGCCAATTAGCATTCATAGCTTTTATTACACGACCAATAACAAATTCTCCTATAATTTAATTGAATAAATTTATCTACATAGAAAATTAAATATCTACATAGAATGTGTGGTATTTGATTAAATAAATTTTCTTACATACCACATTTCTCACAACAAGGGGCGAACAAAACATGAAAATCGTGTTCACAATATTTATACCCTTCGAATTCATAAAATATTCCATCAGGAAATGGTCGGAAACATTGTGCACATCTAATGAAATGAAAAATTTAAAAAAACAAATGTTTTATTTAACTGCATTATATATAATAGCAAATAAAATAATATTTAATGAATCTTACACAAAACATTGAGGGTGCCATAATTCTCCATGTGAATTAACAATTTTTTCATGTGCAACAAAACCTTCTCTGCATCGTGAACAAAACATATGATCTAAAGACATTTCTGTAACACTTCAATAAAGTACATATTTTTATTATTAATTATAATTTTTTTAATATTTTATGAATAAATCAAATATATGTTTCAGTTGCAATTATTCCTAACTTTAACATTATTTCATTTGGTGCTTTATATATGTATTGTTTAATAAATTACACAGATTAATAGTTTTGTCAATAATAATAATAATTTTATTTTTACGTAGAAGCTATCACATGTCACCGGTTATTATTCCGTAATTAAATGTGGAAGTGAAACAATCTAAATAAACTTCAATGTACTTTATTTATACATAATGAATTGAAATGAAACTTTGGACACATCTTTTACGTAACATTTAATATTTTGCTTTTGCAATATTCTATATTGCTCTACATTTCAAAAATTGCAATAGTTAATGCAAGTGCAAATACAAGTTAATTCGTGATCGATCAACAACATTTGGAAATGAAAACACGAGTTAACTCGTGAGCAGTCAACAATGTCAAAATAATCAAGTCAATACAAATTTCAGTGTATGTGAAAATGAATGATTTTCCCACCATTTACGTCAATAAAATGAATTACTGTGAATAAGTTTTTGATTTTTCTAAATAATGCTTGTTTTTCTTTTTTGTGACATTCGAGTACTGCGCCATTTGATCTAATTATATTAACGAAATACAAGAAACATGATTTTAAATATTTGATAATAACGGATTTAAAATTAAATACCTGTAAACGATTTTTTGACGGTGGAAGAGATATCCTATAACAGTATGTTTCACAAGAAAAATAATTGTGCTTACCCTGGCATTCTTTTAATGGTAAGGAAGAGCTAATTAAATCTCTCGATTTTTATTAGCAGTTGTTACTTTATCTTTCAAATGTTCAAATAATTTTTAACACTATGCATTATAAATTAATTACCAAAATACCTAATCGTTTAATTAACTGAAAGATACTGGTATGTAACGTTAACAATAGTTCGACTTTTTTCTTTAAATCAAATTTTTATATAAAAAAGATTTTTGCATTTTCACAAGTACGAGTCTATGTTCATGTAAAAGATGATCCAATGTAAATTTAGAATAAAAATTACGTCAGCGAATAACGCACCACCTTTCCTGCTTTAACCACTACGCTTAAATGTAGCGACCAATCAAATGCTAGAAATGCAGAATTACCTTTTCAGAAATAAATCCATAAACATGAAAATCAATTTAGAGTGGAAACTAATAACTATTTAATAGTACACTGCACTTATGTAAATAAAATATTTTAATTGATAAAACATCTACCTATATTATTGATTTTTTGTAGTATGCATATAAAAACAAAAATATACAAAGTATAACCACTTACATAAATTATTTTCACGTTTAGTATTTTCGTTATAGGTTAGTTTATTACACTTGTAAATATAGGAATATATGTAGGTATATAACCAATATGTTTTATTAGTTTTAAAATTTGTATAATATATTGGAATTTATATAAATATGTAGATGAAAAATTAATAAATATATTCATTAAACAGTGATGAACAAATATATAGTGTACAAAGTTTGCTTAAAATTTCAATTTCGTTAGTATATTTTTAGAGTATTTGTTAAAACACTACATTTCATTTATGATATAAACTGGATTTTCACTGCACAGTTCAATAAAAATGTTTACTACAGAAAACTGTTTACTTTGTGAAAATAATTTATTATTAAGTAGTAATGTCATACATGAGTATAATTGAATGGTTCAGTTAAGAAAGAATTTTAAATGCCTATGTAATATTATTTATTCTCATCATCAAATTGAAGTTATAACAGTAATGTATTATATTGGTGCATATACAAATATATTAAAATATACATATATTTTTCATCTATTATAGAAACACTCTTTAAAGATTTTATTGAATATCATGTTGGTACATAACATAATCTATATATCATATAATCGAAGTAACAAAGATAAATTTTTGTTTAATGTCTTGTAATACTGTTAATTTACTTTTGTATTCTGTACCCATTTTATATTTCCCGCGACTACGAATTAAAACACTTCATTGGGTACGCAATCTGAAGAGTTACAAAAATTTCATGACCTATAAGAACTGCCTGCAGAACAGTTAGGCAGGCAGCAGAGCAGTGCGGTCCGTCGCCATTTTGTTTATTTTCGCGTAAAAGAGACTTAAGAGACGATCATCCAAGCAGGTCGTTCTGTCGTTGTTCGTGGAAACGTCAGCTGAGTGCACTGGTGAGCACGTTAGAAACCTAGAGGTACCGGTAAAAAATTTATTTACACAAGGGTTTGATAGCAGTGATCGGAACAAATATTAAGTTCTAAAGAAGCTGAGGCTCGCAAGAAGTACGTAGGTCTCCCGATGAGTAGCGCGCCGGTCCTGCGGTGCGAAAACCGTTTCTCGGATCGGGCGAGAAAGAGCGAACTAGTATGAACTAAGAAGTGCAAGCAAGACAGGTGCCGTAAGAGTAAGAAAAGATACAACCGTGGCGACAAGATACAGAACAACGTAAGAATTACGAAAATATCGTTCGAAGGTAGAATATATGTCGTGGGCGTCCCCCAAAACAGCGGGGGCACTTGATAGTTGCAGAAATTGGGCGCATTGCAAGCAAATATCAATCATCGTTGTGTAGTAAACCTACATCATTTTCGAGTCGTGGTGGTAGTGACGCGAATCTGGTTGCGATTGGAATCGAACAGCCGCAGTCTCAACAAAATTTGCTTCAGCAAAAACCATCCGTCCTCGACGAAAATAGTCAGTATATTGAACGACAACAATCAATTTGTGCTCAAAATTCATTTGTGCTCAAAATTCATTTGTGGTTACACTAGTTAAAACACCTACAGAAGTAACCTCGACGGCGGCAGCCGCCTCCGAGGTTCCCGGCGCAATCAAGACGACCATCAATATCGGCATTGCGATGAACCACGTTAACGACCAGGAAAACCTTAAACAGCTCAACCTGGCACCAGTTCAGGTCAATGAAGTCGAAGAAATGGACACACAAGAAGGTATATTTGATCTTTTCCTATTTCATTTTACGTATATTTTTTCCTATTTTTAACTTAGCTTCATATGTTTTTATTTTTGCTTTTTAAGGTTATCAAAAATATTTCTTGACTTTATAACACTGTAGATATTGCAATCTATTTTCATTTCTATAACATTGCATTACAAGAATTGTGGTCGAATTCTTTTATTTTTGTTTTTATTGAATATTATTGTATATATGTACAATATATATGTTTCATGTATCACATTTTATATTTTGTAACAATTTTTATTGAATTTGTTCATTTATGTTACCGCTTTTAAATATTATGTGAAGGAGTTTAGAAGAGGGTATTATAAAAGAAATAATTCTTGACACGATTTTTATGGTAATTTTCATTGAAATAAAAATGTATTCAAAACACGTTGAAAATAAATTCTTTTTATGTTGTTACAGCTAAAAGTAAAAAAGTTTTAAATCTTTTAACTGAATTATATATATAGGGTAGGTCAAAGATCTGTATACAAGTGGAGTAAGAAAGATTCTGTAACTTAAAAAAAATTGAAATGGTGGAATAATTTTTTATTGTTCACAGATTTATTTTTCAATAAAATAAATTGAAAAGTTATATTGTGTATAAAAACAGTGGTAGTAATAGTTTTGTAATAAAATCAGGGTATAGTTAGGAGCACATATACATGATCAAATGTGAAACTAAGTTTTTATTCTGATGATTAAAAAGTACAGTACCTCAACTTGTGAATTTAATTTGTTCTAGTCTGAAATTCGTATCTTGAAATCCAATGTTCTATAATATTATAATTTGGGATCATAAAAGCATCTTGGTTTGTTTCTCAAAATTAAATTCGTATTTAAAGGTCAAAATGGAGTATGAAAAAAATTCATATATAGAGCAGTTCATGAGTTGTGGTATTGGTGTACTATATTATTTTAATTTATTATAAGACTAGAATCTTTTCCATTCTATTATCATAATAATTCATAGCCTGTTATGTAGATGTTTTCTTTTATTTGAAAATATTAATTATTTGAAACGTTCAAACAAAACTTTTATTGAAATATAGTAATAATGAAGGTTAGGACAATTTTTATATTTTCAACAAGGCAAACAT